TCTGTCCGCCCACCTATCTGTCCACCCCCCCATCTACCCCCCCCCCTGTCCATCCACTCACCCCTCCATCCACCCATCCGTCCATCCACCCATCCTACGTCCACTCACCCCTCCGTCCACCCATCTGTCCATCCACCCATCTATCCACCCTCTTGTCCATCCACTCACCCCTCTGTCCACCCATCTGTCCATCCACCCATCCACTCATCCCTCCTTCCATCCATCTGTCGACCCACCTATCTGTCCATCCACCCATCTATCCACCCTCCTGTCCATCCACTCACCCCTCCGTCCACCCATCTGTCCATCCACCCATCTATCCACCCTCTTGTCCATCCACTCACCCCTCTGTCCACCCATCTGTCCATCCACCCATCCACTCATCCCTCCTTCCATCCATCTGTCGACCCACCTATCTGTCCATCCACCCATCTATCCACCCTCCTGTCCATCCACTCACCCCTCCGTCCACCCATCTGTCCATCCACCCATCTATCCACCCTCTTGTCCATCCACTCACCCCTCTGTCCACCCATCTGTCCATCCACCCATCCACTCATCCCTCCTTCCATCCATCTGTCGACCCACCTATCTGTCCATCCACCCATCTATCCACCCTCCTGTCCATCCACTCACCCCTCCGTCCACCCATCTGTCCATCCACCCATCTATCCACCCTCTTGTCCATCCACTCACCCCTCTGTCCACCCATCTGTCCATCCACCCATCCACTCATCCCTCCTTCCATCCATCTGTCGACCCACCTATCTGTCCATCCACCCATCTATCCACCCTCCTGTCCATCCACTCACCCCTCCGTCCACCCATCTGTCCATCCACCCATCTATCCACCCTCTTGTCCATCCACTCACCCCTCTGTCCACCCATCTGTCCATCCACCCATCCACTCATCCCTCCTTCCATCCATCTGTCGACCCACCTATCTGTCCATCCACCCATCTATCCACCCTCCTGTCCATCCACTCACCCCTCCGTCCACCCATCTGTCCATCCACCCATCTATCCACCCTCTTGTCCATCCACTCACCCCTCTGTCCACCCATCTGTCCATCCACCCATCCACTCATCCCTCCTTCCATCCATCTGTCGACCCACCTATCTGTCCATCCACCCATCTATCCACCCTCCTGTCCATCCACTCACCCCTCCGTCCACCCATCTGTCCATCCACCCATCTATCCACCCTCTTGTCCATCCACTCACCCCTCTGTCCACCCATCTGTCCATCCACCCATCCACTCATCCCTCCTTCCATCCATCTGTCGACCCACCTATCTGTCCATCCACCCATCTATCCACCCTCCTGTCCATCCACTCACCCCTCCGTCCACCCATCTGTCCATCCACCCATCTATCCACCCTCTTGTCCATCCACTCACCCCTCTGTCCACCCATCTGTCCATCCACCCATCCACTCATCCCTCCTTCCATCCATCTGTCGACCCACCTATCTGTCCATCCACCCATCTATCCACCCTCCTGTCCATCCACTCACCCCTCCGTCCACCCATCTGTCCATCCACCCATCTATCCACCCTCTTGTCCATCCACTCACCCCTCTGTCCACCCATCTGTCCATCCACCCATCCACTCATCCCTCCTTCCATCCATCTGTCGACCCACCTATCTGTCCATCCACCCATCTATCCACCCTCCTGTCCATCCACTCACCCCTCCGTCCACCCATCTGTCCATCCACCCATCTATCCACCCTCTTGTCCATCCACTCACCCCTCTGTCCACCCATCTGTCCATCCACCCATCCACTCATCCCTCCTTCCATCCATCTGTCGACCCACCTATCTGTCCATCCACCCATCTATCCACCCTCCTGTCCATCCACTCACCCCTCCGTCCACCCATCTGTCCATCCACCCATCTATCCACCCTCTTGTCCATCCACTCACCCCTCTGTCCACCCATCTGTCCATCCACCCATCCACTCATCCCTCCTTCCATCCATCTGTCGACCCACCTATCTGTCCATCCACCCATCTATCCACCCTCCTGTCCATCCACTCACCCCTCCGTCCACCCATCTGTCCATCCACCCATCTATCCACCCTCTTGTCCATCCACTCACCCCTCTGTCCACCCATCTGTCCATCCACCCATCCACTCATCCCTCCTTCCATCCATCTGTCGACCCACCTATCTGTCCATCCACCCATCTATCCACCCTCCTGTCCATCCACTCACCCCTCCGTCCACCCATCTGTCCATCCACCCATCTATCCACCCTCTTGTCCATCCACTCACCCCTCTGTCCACCCATCTGTCCATCCACCCATCCACTCATCCCTCCTTCCATCCATCTGTCGACCCACCTATCTGTCCATCCACCCATCTATCCACCCTCCTGTCCATCCACTCACCCCTCCGTCCACCCATCTGTCCATCCACCCATCTATCCACCCTCTTGTCCATCCACTCACCCCTCTGTCCACCCATCTGTCCATCCACCCATCCACTCATCCCTCCTTCCATCCATCTGTCGACCCACCTATCTGTCCATCCACCCATCTATCCACCCTCCTGTCCATCCACTCACCCCTCCGTCCACCCATCTGTCCATCCACCCATCTATCCACCCTCTTGTCCATCCACTCACCCCTCTGTCCACCCATCTGTCCATCCACCCATCCACTCATCCCTCCTTCCATCCATCTGTCGACCCACCTATCTGTCCATCCACCCATCTATCCACCCTCCTGTCCATCCACTCACCCCTCCGTCCACCCATCTGTCCATCCACCCATCTATCCACCCTCTTGTCCATCCACTCACCCCTCTGTCCACCCATCTGTCCATCCACCCATCCACTCATCCCTCCTTCCATCCATCTGTCGACCCACCTATCTGTCCATCCACCCATCTATCCACCCTCCTGTCCATCCACTCACCCCTCCGTCCACCCATCTGTCCATCCACCCATCTATCCACCCTCTTGTCCATCCACTCACCCCTCTGTCCACCCATCTGTCCATCCACCCATCCACTCATCCCTCCTTCCATCCATCTGTCGACCCACCTATCTGTCCATCCACCCATCTATCCACCCTCCTGTCCATCCACTCACCCCTCCGTCCACCCATCTGTCCATCCACCCATCTATCCACCCTCTTGTCCATCCACTCACCCCTCCGTCCACCCATCTGTCCATCCACCCATCTATCCACCCTCTTGTCCATCCACTCACCCCTCTGTCCACCCATCTGTTCATCCACCCATCCACTCATCCCTCCTTCCATCCATCTGTCGACCCACCTATCTGTCCATCCACCCATCTATCCACCCTCCTGTCCATCCACTCACCCCTCCATCCACCCATCCGTCCATCCACCCATCCTATGTCCACTCACCCCTCCGTCCACCCATCCGTCCATCCACCCATCCTACGTCCACTCACCCCTCCGTCCACCCATCTGTCCATCCACCCATCCTACGTCCACTCATCCCTCCATCCATCCATCTGTCCATCCACCATTCATCGGTCCACCCCAGTCACCCATCCATGGACCCCTTGCTGAGCATCTACCATGTTCCAAGTCCCTTGATGTTGAGTCCCTGAGGACTTGACAGTGGGTAAGACTCGATTCCTCTCTTCTCATCACTTTGGGGTAGAAGATGACAGCTCTCACCCGAGGCAGCCTCGACTTCCTCCATCCGTAGACTCTCATCTCTTTACAGCGTCTTTTGGTGCCTTCACCTAGAAGCGGGGGCCTGTGGCGTTTATGAGCGGGGGCCACACGAGTGCCTTTGCTTTTCCCAGTGGTATGACCTGGACTCCCTCGAGCAGTTCCCATTCCCCTTGGGCTACGATGGCAACATCACCCCTTTCCAGAAGCTGCTCATGCTGCGCTGTTTCCGTGTGGACCGGGTGTATCGTGCGGTGACTGACTACGTCACGGTGACAATGGGAGAGAAGTAAGCGTGTCATTCGGGTCCTCTGCCCTTTCTGTGGGCAGAACACCTCACATCATCCCTGTCCACACTCACGGGACGCAGTGGCCGGCCAGCTCCCAAGAGAGCTGTCCCCGCCCGTCCTCGAGCAGTGCTGGGTAGTATAACCCAAGGCACTCACATAATTTCACGTATGCTAGTCGTCACATTAGAAAAGAAATAGGTGGAGGGACCAGCAGTTGGCGTAATGGCTATATCGCTGGACTTCCATGTAGCAGATCATGGTTTGAGTCCCAGACCTGGTGGCTTAAACTCACTGGGTACATGTGCGTGTGTGCCCGAGATCCTGAGTGGAGAATGGAGAAGGGATTGCGGTGGTCTCCCCCCCCGGGGGGGTAATTTCTCACTTTCTGTCTCTCTATCTCTCTCGTCTTTCTGGCGAGTGCACGTGCCCTATAGCAGAAACCTCTCTTTAAAAAGAAAAAGGAAAAGAACAGGTGGGTTAATTTTAGTAACATATTTTACTTACCTGAATATCTGAAAATATGATCATTTCAGCCTGTCATCAGTATAGACATTAGATTTTTGAGGGGGGGTGTTTAAGACTTTTGTCTCTTTTTTTAAGAGAGATCTTTGCTAAAGGGCATCTGTTTTTTTTTTTTTTTTTCTGCCAGAAAGACAGAGACAGAAAGTGAGAAATCAACCGGCCTGGGGCGGGAGGTGGTGGTATGGCCACTCCGCAGTCCCTTCTCCTCCATCCTCCTCTTGGGATTTTGGGTACACACATACATGCGCCCAGTGTGAGTCTCAAGCCATCGGGTTTGGGATTTGAACCGCGGTCAACTACATGGGAGTCCAGTGGTGTAACCGCTGTGCCATCTGAGGGTCTCAGCACTACGCAGATATTTTGCACACTGCTTCGGAGTCATGTCTTCAGCATCCTGTGTGAATTCATGCTTACGGCGCACCTCAGATGGCCCTGCCGCACGCACCCCAAGGGCTCAGTGGTTGCATGTGCCTGCGGCAACATGGCAGACAAGCAGCTCTGGCATCGAGGGTGGGAGCCAGACGGGGCGCCTTGGGGCTCGGGGCTCCGGTGGCTGTGGCCAGCAGAATGGGAGGGACTGGATGCGCTGGGCAGGCCGGGGAGCTAAGTCCTGGCCTACGGGGCAGCTGCCCTGACCCCTGTGACAGATGCTGGGTGGCCAGGGATCTGAGTGTCTAGCTACATTGACTCTTTGAAAAAAGCTAGAAAATCAGATTTGGGGGCTGACCTTAAGGCTTAGTGGTTAAGGGAACCAGATCCCATGCAGCCAAACTGAAATGTGAGTCCGGCCCCGCTGGCTGGAAGGACGTGTCAGGTAGGAGTGAGTGCGAATGTGGCCCAAATCCTAGCAGGAGGGGCCATGCCATGGTGGGGTCAGGGGCTTCCTGGGCTCTGGGTGGAGTGAGTGAACCTGCCAGAAGCTAACTGTGTCACTCCCAGGGCGGTGGCCGCTGTTCCTCTCCCTCTCTCTCTGCGTCTCTGTGTCTCTTTCTCTGGTGGGCACATGTTCTCTCTGGCAATCAAAACAACAAAATGAACAAAAAAGAAAATCAGTTTAAACAGAAATGTGCCAGAGGGTACGTGCATGCTGGCGTTGGAGAGGTGGGGCAGTGAGAAAGCATTCCTTGCGGGGGATGGTCACCTGCTAACCCTTCTCTGTCGTCCCTCCTTGGAGGACTGCGGGCATGCACACACATGTGCCTGGTGTGTTTTTAAGCTGCTGGGTCCAGGACTCAAACTGCGCAGTCAACCATATGGGATCCAACTGCCTTAACCTCTATGCCACTGGCAGGCCGAGAAAATCATATTTTTCCATGAAAACTCCCCATCTTTGGTAATCAATTGAAAAAAGAAAGAGAAAGCCTGTCCCTTCAGGACACGCCCACAGATGTGCCACTGTGGGCCAGCTCTGAGTTTGGTACCACGGGCAGACGGGGCGCCCAGCTCAGCCATGCACATCTGCCAGGACCACACGCTCCAGCCGTGTGCAGGGGGGCAGAGGTCCCATCACTCGGGTTGGCCGTCCCCGGGGAGACCTGTGTGTCACCTGGATTCAGAACCAGGTGGGCGTGCAGAGCGTATCCGAGGAGCCCCCAGAAGGTTCTGGGCGGGGGGCAGACAGCAGCCCGGCCGGCCCTGGCCTGAGCTGCCCTGGAGCTTCCTCCCAGGAGCTCTCCGACGCGTCTCTCTCCAGGTACGTGCAGCCCCCGATGATCAGCTTCGAAGCCATCTTCGAGCAGAGCACCCCCAACTCGCCCATCGTGTTCATCCTCAGCCCCGGCTCCGACCCTGCCAGCGACCTGATGAAGCTGGCCGACCGCAGCGGCTTTGGGGGAAATCGCCTCAAGTTCCTTGCGATGGGGCAAGGCCAAGAGAAGGTAACTTGCTGCTAGAAGGGACCAGCTGTGTGTTTGGCGGGTTCCCTGGGCTCTGAGGCTAGGCGTTAAGCTGGCTTGAGCCGAGGGCCGCTCCTCAGGCCGCTGGGTGTGCGTCCTCCCTGCAGGGTGTGACCGGCCACTGGAGAGGTGGCGGTATCAGTCGTTAGGACCCCACGGCCCGCGAGCCAGGCCTCTGCCCTGTCCCACGCCCTCGCACCCAGCCTGCTGGGGTCAGGATGGTCCTTGCCTCAATTGCCCAGTTGGGGACGTGGGTCCAGAGAGGCTGAGCCCAGGACCGTGTGGGGCAGAACCGCGGGGCACATTGGGGCCACCGATCCTGGGCCTGTGAGCTCTCTCTGCTGTGGCGCTGCCTCCTTGTGCCATCATGTGCCCCACGAGAACTCGTGCCCAGTGGGACCAAGTGGGGGAGACCAGGGAGGGCCTGGTGGTATGGTGGCCGCGAGGGCGGAGGGGGCTGGCTGCTGCTCCTGACCGCTGCACACTGCCGGGGAGCTCCCAGCAAACCCGTTCTGCGGGAGGCCTTCCTGAAGTGGGGGTGGCAATGCTGGCGCTAGAGGGCCCAGCAGGCGAGCCGAGGGCACCAGCTGGGCAGAGCTGCTGTCACAGGCCACAGACCGAGAGGCTGCTTTAACACCAGCTCGCGGGGGCTTTCAGTCATTTCATGACGGAGGTGTCTGGGAGTGTCGCTTGTTTTCACCCTGAACATTTATTAATACCTTGGGGAGGGCATCGAGGTGGTTTTCCACACGTGGTGCCAGACGGTGGTGCAGGGGTAACAGTTGGGCCACATGGGAAGGTCCTGGGTTTGTGTCTCGAGGCCCCCCTGAGCCCACTGGGTGTGCGTGCGCCCGACCCTGGCCGGCTGGGAGGGCAAGAGGATCACGTTGCGAGGCCTCCCTGAGGGTGCTTGTCTTTCCCTGCCTCGTGTGGATTGAATAAATAGGCATCTAAATAAGTCAGTGTCAAACATTTTAAAAGGTAGTGGGTGGGTGGTTTGGCACTCCGCATGGTTCTCTGTGCAGCCGACGCACTCGGGGAGGGTTTGGGTTCCGTCTGGAGACCGCCCTGGGTACCCTGGGCATGCACTCCCCGCAACCCAGGCTGGCTGAGGCTGCGGTGGGTCACGGCACCGGGACCCTGTCACGGGTGCCGTCTCTCCGTCTGTCTCTGCCTCTATCTCTGTCTTTCTTGCTTGAGGAAGACATAAATAATAAGCTTCCAAAGATTTTGAGATGGCCGGGGCCCGCCTCCTGGTGGGGTGGCTGGTCTCTACCAGCCCAGCTTCAGGGGGTGGTCTGGATGCAGGTGCAGCTGGGGAGGAGGCGGTAGAGCGCTGAGGGCAGCCGGGGGCCGGCGAGTTCCGACTGCCAGCGTGTCTTGCAGGCTGTGGCCGATCCTGCAGACACACGGCCTGCAGGGATTCTGGGGGACTATTCCCATGAGCTCCCAAGTGGCCCCCGGGTCAGCAGCTCTCTGGCTCCTGTTGGGCAGCCCATCGCCTGTCTGGGGGCTCAGGGTGGGTCTGTGGAGAGCGGGGCTGGAAAGCTCTGGACTCCAAGCTGCCCTCCTGGTGCAGTTGGCGCTGCAGCTGCTGGAGACGGCGGTGGCCCGCGGGCAATGGCTGATGCTACAGAACTGCCACCTCCTGGTCAGGTGGCTGCGGGATCTGGAGAAGGCGCTGGAGAGGATCACCAAGCCCCACCCCGACTTCCGCCTGTGGCTCACCACGGACCCCACCAAGGGCTTCCCCATCGGGATTCTGCAGAAGTCCTTAAAGGTCCGGCTTCAGGACAGACCGACATGCCCGCAGCCCGGCCCACACTGCCATTTTGCCATGTGTGCGTGTGTGTGTGTGTGTTGTACGTGTGCATGGGTGTGTAAATACACCATAGTGCAGGTGCAGCCTCGTGGGTGCCGCTTCCCAGTCCCTCTCTCCCGCTCTCGTCCATGGGAGCCGCTGTCCCCTCTGGGTATATGCTGCGTTATTAGGACCCCCGGCCTGTCTCCACTACTTCCGCACCCTAAGGACAGTGGCACGGCCTCCACGCACGACCCCCGTCACACCTCCCACGGCACCTGCCCTCTGCCCCTGGGACGGGTCCAGCCCCAGCCCTGGTGCCCTAGCGTTAGCACAGGATGTCTGAGAGGCTTGACCACCTTTTTAACTGTACCATCCTGGGAGTTCTCCGGGCAGGGTTTTGTCACCATTCCTTCTCACTGGGCAGTGGCGGGAGTCTTAGCTGCTTTCTCCACTGAGGCCAGGGTTCAGAGAGCAGTTGGAGAGCCTGCCGGGTCAGCTGACGCGCGAGTCCTTTGAGAGGCTTCTGTGGGGGGACAGGAGGACAGCAGGCGGAGGCGGGAAGGGGGAGGTGGGAAGGGTGGCCCCGGCAGCTCTGAGCGGTCCGGTGGGCTGCAGTCCCCGACCCCGACCCGCTTGGCTTCCTTCCCTTCTGAAGGTGGTCACCGAGCCGCCCAACGGACTGAAGCTGAACCTGAGGGCTACATACTTCAAGATCTCGCACGACATGCTAGAGCAGTGCCCACACCCTGCCTTCAAGGCCCTGGTCTACGTGCTGGCCTTCTTCCACGCCGTGGTGCAGGAGAGGAGGAAGTTTGGGAAGATCGGCTGGAACGTGTACTACGACTTCAACGAGTCCGACTTCCAGGTGCTTGGGAGCGGCTGCCTGGTGCAGGCTTCGCCCTGCCCTTCCTTCCCAGCTCCCCTTTCCGGAAACAACACTGGAGGCTCTCCTGTAACCGCTGTCCTCCTCTAAGGTCTGCATGGAAATTCTGAACACGTACTTGACGAAAGCCTTCCAGCAACACGACCCTCGGATCCCCTGGGGCAGCCTCAAGTACCTCATCGGAGAGGTGGGGTGCTGGGGGCTTTCTGCGGGCTGCCTGGGGGGCAGCCGGGCTGTGGCCTGAGCCCTGTGCTGGCGTCTGAGTCCACGGGCAATCCCGTCCAGCCCCTTTCCCCTTCAGCTGCAGGCCCCTGAGGTCTTGAGAAGTGTTCCCCACTGGTCCCCGGTTGTTCTCTGCCCTGGGTGGGCCCCACTGACGGCGGCGCCCTGTGGTGGCTGTCCAACCCGGGAAAACGTATAACCACAGACTCGGAGCAGGTCAAGAAGCACCTGGGTTCCTGCGGGGCGACTTGCAGGAGTCAGCAGTGCTGGCCTGGCCTGTGCTAGGTACCTCAGTGGAGCCTGTCCTTGGTCACAGACCAGGAGGCCCTGCTCCTGGGAGAGCCCCGCTGGTCTGCGTGAGGGTGGTCAGAGGTCCGTCTCATGGACAGTGGGCTGCCAGCTTCCTGGCTCGTTTTGGCCTGCGTCTGTCCTGTGTTTCGGGGTTTTGCTGCTGCACGTGGGCTCCCAGACTCCCGAGGGGTGGTCATCTCTCTGGGCTCTATGCCTGGGGAGTCAGCGAGCCCACAGTATCACATTATGGTTCTGGAAACCGACTCTTAACACACGGGCCGCAAAGGTTACGTGTGTCCGTAGGTTGGAGCTGCCCGTGGCCCGGCCTGCAGGATCTTACCAGGGGTGGGTTGGGTCTCGACCCTGGGCAAGCTCAGGCCCAAGGTCCCTGGGGTGCCCACAGCAGGTCTGGGCTTCCGGCTGACTCTCCTTATTCCAGGTCATGTATGGAGGACGGGCCATCGACAGCTTCGACCGTCGCATCCTGACCATCTACATGGATGAGTACCTGGGAGACTTCATTTTTGATACTTTCCAGCCGTTCCACTTCTTCCAGAATAAGGAAGTGGACTATAACATCCCCGCTGGTAACGAAAAGGAGAAGTTCGTTGGTGAGATTTCTCAGACAGGCGCAGTGTTTGTATTCGTTGGTAACTGTCCACGGGCCTGTGCGCTCACCAGAGAGACATGGAGATATTGGGAAGACCTCCCCCACCCAGTGTGGCGTGGTCACCCTGCAAGCTTCCCTACTCCTGCATGCTGCTGGCATCTGGGGCACGCATGCATATTTACCTGGTGTGGCTCTCTAACCACCGGGGCTGGGACTCTAGCCACGGTCAGCCAAGGGGCACTGGTGCCCTTAACCCCTAGGCGACAGGCCGGCCCATAGGAGAACTTGTGGAGCTCTGTGAGGGAGGCCGTCATGGTCCCTGGTTCTGTCTCTGTGGTCGTCCTGGTGGCCCTCTGACCGCTCTCTGGTGGCTCCTTGGCTGCTCAGGTGTGGTCTGCTCACTTGCTAGGTAGCCCAAGATCTGAGAGACTTACTCAGATTTCCCACCAGGGGGACGGTGGATACACGGTTCCACCGGGAGGGGCAGAGCGCCCCGGAGCTGGTTTCCTAAAAGGCCGGATTGGGCGGCTGCAGAATGCGACAGAAATGCTGTCAGTCACGCCTATCAGGTCCACAGGCTCAGGGACTCAGACCCTGAGGACGGTGGCCCATGTAAGCCCTGTCTGTCCCCTGTGCCTGCAGAAGCCATTGAAGCCCTCCCGCTCGCCAACACACCCGAAGTGTTCGGCCTTCACTCCAACGCGGAGATTGGGTATTACACACAGGCGGCTCGAGACATGTGGTCCCACCTGCTGGAGCTGCAGCCGCAGACGGGTAAGGTCTCCCGGAGGCCCTCGTTACCCTCATTAGGGTCGGTCCTGGTAGCTGTCCCGCCTGGCTGATGCCTTTCCAAGAACCGGAAGCTCGGGATGCCCCAGTCCTGCACCCGGATGCCTGGCTTTCTCTGAAAAGTGTTCCGCTCTCAGGGGAGTCCAGCAGCGGCATCAGCCGTGACGATTACATCGGCCAAGTGGCCAAGGACATAGAGAACAAGATGCCCAAGGTCTTCGAGCTGGACCAGGTCCGGAAGCACCTGGGCATCGGGATCTCGCCCACATCGGTGGTGCTCTTGCAGGAGCTGGAGCGCTTCAACAAGCTGGTGGTCCGGATGAGCAGGTCTCTGGCCGAGCTGCAGAGGGTGAGCGTGTTCCAACGGTGTGGCGCCACCTGGGGGAGTGGCAGCAGCGGCCCCACGGCGGCCCGCCTCATCGCTCTCCCTCTGCGACAGGCCTTGGCCGGGGAGGTGGGAATGAGCAGCGAGCTGGACGATGTCGCCAGGTCCCTCTTCATCGGGAACATCCCTGATATCTGGAGGAAGCTCGCCCCTGACACCTTGAAGTCCCTTGGAAATTGGATGGTCCACTTCCAGCGGCGGTTCAGCTGGAAGCCACCCTCGGCCCCTAGTGCCCATTCCCCAGTGGAATGCTGCTGGTTTATGGGGTGCTCTAGACATGCTCCGGGTTCTATCAGCACAGCTGGACCCCCACCCCGCCCTTCTGTGGGACTGTAGGGCTTGCTCTGCACTCGGCTCCTTTCCCCAGGAGCAGGTCCTGGCCCCTGTTTCATACTAGGCCCCAGGGGACAGGCTCCTCCTCTTCAGGGTTCCACTTACAGATGTCCACGGCCTTCCTCACACTGATGGTCACTTAGGTGGCTACCCTGTGCGTGTGCGAGAGAGTGTGTACCCTGCCAGGTCTGGGACTTGAACCACTGTCAGCCATGTGGATCCAGCCGCCTTAACCACCAGGCCACGGGCCGGCCTGCAGGACCATCTTTTTGCTGCTGAGGCGATGTGCGTCTTTCATTAGGAGCTGAACTTGCGCGGTGCACATGTAATTTATATTTGCTAGCACGAAATATGTGGACACTCGTGTCAGTGGGACCCAGGGCTAAATTCCGAGGGTGGCAGTGTTGGACCCGGGAGTGTGCGTCTTCGGCTTCGATGGCTCTTGCCAGACGGTTCTCCGAGAGGCTGTGGCACCCATGTGGGCGCTATCTCCTCACCTCTGAGCCACGCTGTACCCGTGTCAGCTCTGCCTCATACGTTTGCTCACGCGAGGCTGAGCGTCTTACGTGCTCGCTAACATTGCGTGTTTCTTTTTCTGTGAACGGTCTTCATAGCTAGATTTCATTTTTATCGAAGTCTCCCTTTTTTTTATTGTTGGTTTTTAGGAGCTCTTTGTATATCAAAGAAATTAGCCTTTTGTCTGCTGGTGCCGTGGAAATTCCTCCCAGAGTGTGCCGGGTCTTTCGGCTTTACTAGTGGTGCTTACATTTTATGTGGTCAGTTGTATCAGTCTTCTCGTTTATGGCTCTGGAGTCTGTATTCCCGATGCAGACCCATTCTGAGGTTACGAAGACACTCGTGGGAGACTCGGTCTGTTCACTGTGGGTTTACGTCTGTACTGAAGTCTTTGATCCGTTTGGCGTTTGGCAGTCCCGCTCGTGTCTCCTAAGCGGGCTGCCCGCGTGCCAATACTGTCCCCCTCCCCCCTTTTTATTGTTTAATTTGCCGGAGGGTGTGTGCATTTGCTGGAGAGAGACAGAGGGAGAGAGGGAGAGCAAGAAAGTATCCCCTATGAGGTGTGGCCACACTGCAGTCTCTTCTCCTCCTTCTCTCCGTCCTTTCGGGATTCTAGGCATGTCAGCACTCGTTCCTGGTGTGTTTTTCCAGTCATCAGGTCTGGGACTTGAACCACACTGTCAGCCAGGTGGGATCCAGCTGCCTTAATCACCAGGCCACGGGCTGGCCCGCAGCACTGTCTGTCTGCCGCTGAGGTGAAGTGCGTCTTTTATCAGGAGCTGAGACCGTCTGCTGGCAGTCCAGACGCCCACCATTCGCCCTTGCTTCTCTGCAGGTCACCGAGAGTGAGCCCAGCGTGGTGTGGCTCTCGGGCCTGCACATCCCAGAGTCCTACCTCACGGCCCTGGTGCAGGCCACCTGCCGGAGGAACGGCTGGCCGCTGGATCGCTCCACCTTGTTCACGCAGGTGACTAAGTTCCAAGATGCAGAGGAAGTGAACGAGCGGGCAGGACAAGGTATGGCTGGCTGCCGTGGGTCTGCAGCCCCCACCGGGGCTCTCCCCGAGCTGGGCCCCACTCGTAGGAGCAGCACAGTGTGGACCCTGATGGGCCGGCCGGGTACAGACAGGCTGTGCACGCATGTACTGGGCATGCATCCCGTGTCTGCACGCCTCTGTGCATAAGTTCCTCTTCCGGTTTCCCCGAGACCCGGGGGTGTCAGCCCTGACCATGGTCACCTGCTAGTTCACGGGAAGTGGGCTCCTAGGTCAGAGTGAGTTCTTGGGGCTTCCCTGTGCACCTCCAGGGGCCAGGAGTGTGGGAGCCAGAGGGCAGAATGGACTTAGGGGAGCAGTCATGGCATGACTTCGGGCCTTAGCCTGCTTATTGATGGCGAGTCAGCCGGGAACCTAGCCAGAGGCCACTCACTCACTGCCAGGGACAAAAGCCTCCGGAGCCAACTCGAGGACAGGGGTGGGGGATGGGGATTTATGGTAAAGGTTCTGGACCCCTCCCAGGTCTCGGTTCTGAAGTCCAGCTGGGTCTCAGAGGCTGCCCCTCTGCCCTGGGCAGCTGGCTGTCCTCGGTCTGTCTCTGCGTGTCTGCCGGCCTCTTCCCTACATTGTTCTGCTCCATCTCCCTGCTCCCCAGACCTGGCGGCTCACGGGGGAGCTGGGGCTGCCCTGGTGCAGCTCTGCCCCTGGGCCGCTCCTCCTCCCAGCCCAAGGGCCTTTGTGGTCTTCCCTTTCCCTGGGTGCCACATTCCAGGGAGAGGATCTGACAGGCCCAGCTGGGGGAGCCCACCCCTTCCCCGCTTCCCCGGGGCTGTGTGGGGTGGGACGCACAGGGACGGCACTGTCTGGGCTGATGCTCTGGAAGGGAAAGGTGAGCAGGACAGGAATGATGACAAGAGGTCTTGGCTATGTCCCGACGAGTCCGGGAGGGTGCCAGTGCGTGTTCCCTCTGCTTCGTGGGTGTGTCGGATGGAGCCGTGTGCCGTGGGTCCAGACACCTCTGTGCATGCCGTGTCTTCCTGGGGCCTCTAGGCTGCTTCGTGTCGGGGCTGTACCTTGAAGGTGCTGACTGGGATGTGGACAGAGGATGTCTCGTCAAGAGCAAACCCAAGGTGCTGGTTGTGGACCTGCCGATTCTGAAGATCATCCCCATCGAAGCCCACCGCCTCAAGCTGCAGGTGAAGGCCGGCGCCCTCCTCTCTGGGCGAGTGTCCTGTCTCCTCCCACCGCTGCTAGCGACCGGCCGTCTCCCATAGTCGTGCCCTTTAAAACGGGTGCTAAACCTTCGTGGGGTGGGGAAGTCTTGGAGACAGCTGCTAACAGCTGTGGTGCCGCTTCACGGGGCAATGCCTGGGCGCAGGGAGGCCTGAGCACAGGGAGGCCCGAGCACAGGGAGGCCCGAGCACAGGGAGGCCCGAGCACAGGGAGGCACAGTGCGGATGCTGCTGGGGGCCATC